TCGACTACGTGGAAGTCCAGCGACATAGCCATTACGCTAACTGCTGGTTCCCTGGCTTTTCCACTTTTGCCCTCTCTCTCTGTCTCTCTCTGGTGAGTTAAAATAATAATAATATTAATAGGAGCCAGCAGGTGGCATAGTGGTTAAAGGCACTGGACTCCCACATAGCCGACCATGGTTCAAGTCCCAGACCTGGCAGCTTGCTTTCTCACCTTCCTTCTCTCTCTCTCACTCTGTCTCTCTCTGGTCAAATTAAAATAAATAAAATAAATGAAGTTCAATAAAATAATTCTTTAAATAAAAAAGAATTTTAATAATAATAATTAAATTAAATAATTATTCTTAAAAATAAAATAAAGTAATACAATCACAAGCATTAACAAAATATTGACCTAAATTTTTTAAATCATGTATGTGTAGCCACATTAGCTACAACATATCTCATTATTATTTAAATGTCTGTGTACCATAGGCCTAATCATTTCCCAAGAAAAAAAGGAAGTACCATAAACTCTCCACTATCTGGCAAGATGGAGGAATTTGGTATTCTAGTCAATCAAACTGCTTTTACTTATTAAGAGCCTATAAATATCAAATAAGGATTATTAATTTTTAAAAGAATTGAGATAAAATACAGCACACTTAAACCTAAAACAGGATATAAATTTTTTTTTTTTACCTTTTTTTTTTTTGGAGAAGTTTTTGCTATAGGGGGTGTGAACGCCAGACAGACAGAGACAGACATAGAGACAGAAAGTGAGAAATCACCCCCCTGAGGGGATGGTCACGCAACAATCCCTTCTCCATTCTCCTTTCAGGATCTTGGGCACGCACGCACGCACACGTGCCCAGAGTGAGTTTAAGCCACCGGGTCCAGGACTCGAACCACGGTCGAATAATGTAATGCATTACATTAACTGCTGGTCCCAAACAGGATATAATTTATTTTTCACTGACAGTTATGGAAAGGTACTTCAGGATGCTGCAGTAACTTTTTTCTCTTATTTTAGGTTTTTGCTATAGAGTGAGTGCATTTGACAGAAAGAGATAGAGACAGAAAGAAGGAAAGTGAGAAATCACCCCCCAGGGAGGATGGCCATGCCACATTCACTTCTCCCCCACTCTCTTCTTGGGATTTTGGGCACACACACACATACACCCAGCACGATTTTCAAGCCACCCAGTCCAGAACCTGAACCATGATTGGCCATGTGGGAGTCCAGCACCTTAAATACCAGGCTACCTGCTGGCTCCTCCTGCAAAAAAAGTTTTTAAATGTACTTGGAATGCAGTAGATTTCTATTTCAAATTAAACCAGTTTTATTTTCCATACCATAAAAATCCTAGAAAAACAAACTATGAATTTTGAATTATGTTTCCCTATACTAGCTCATAAAAGTTTCCCAATATCTTAAATATCTATGTTGTTTCTTTTTTTTTTTTTTGAGAGGTTTTGCCAAAGGGCGCGTGTGCTTGCCACAATGACAGAGAGAGACAAAGAGACAGAAAGCGAGAAATCACCCCCCAGGGGGGATGGCCACGCTGCAATCCCTTCTCCTCCATTCTCCTCTCGGGACCTTGGGCACGCACGCACACCCCCCAGGGGTGAGTTTAAGCCACCGGGTCCAGGACTCAAACTGCGGTTGACTACATGGGAGTCTAGCGATATAGCCATTACACTAACTGCTGGTCCCAAACATCTATGTTGTTTCTGATACATAAATGAGAACACCTGAAGGTATAGATACTCCAAAGACGCAAACATTAAAAACAAAATACATTTAAAAGATTTAAATAAGAGAGCAAACGGCTTGATATTTTCTTTACTACTACATTAAGCTATGTACCTTTAAAGTCCATGGAATGAAAGCCAACATTATCCATTTTAATTCTCTGGTTCGGGCCTATGAAATAAGAAAATAGTTTACTCGTTTGCATTTCTCGGTCAGTCAGTGGCGATGGTTAAGGCAGCTGGGTTCCACACAACTGACTGAAGTTCAAGTACCAGGATGGCAGATTGAAAAGCATGTAGGCCTGTGTCCAAAATCCTGGAAGGAGGGAGAATGGAGAAGAGATTGTGGCGTGGCCATTCCCTGATGGTGGGGGTGCCTTCTCACTTACTTTCTCTCTCTGTCTCTCTCCAGCGAGCACATGGGCCCTATAGCAAATTTTAAAAAGAAGAAGAAAAAGTATTTTACTTTTCTGTCCTTTATCCTCCAGTTTGTTTTTTCTTTCTTTCTTTCTTTCTTTCTTTCTTTCTTTCTTTCTTTCTCTCTCTCTTTCTCTCTCTCTTTCTCTCTCTCTTTCTCTCTCTCTCTCTCTCTCTCTCTTTCTCTCTTTCTTTCTTTCTTGAGATGTTTTGCT